CAGCAGTCGATCTGCGCACGCAAGGAGGTGCTATTCCTATTCTTCTTCTGGAAAAACGAAAGAGAGCTTCAAAACAGACTGCAGCGCCATCTGAAGTAAAAAGAGCATACTTCCTGCGGACACTTTTTAGGCTGAGTGGCCCATCTTGTCTTCTACTATCTTTGCTACTCCTAAGGGTAAAAGTAAAAGAGATGTCTATATTCGGTTTCTGACCGCAAAAGTTCCAAAACCTATAGAAATACAAAATGAAATTTAAGTCAGTTTACGGGGAGAAAGTTATGGCACAGTCACAGGCATATGAGTGGTGTAGTAAGTTCTAAGCCGGGCATACGGGTGTCAATGACAAAGTTCATCCATGACCAGGACCTTGTTTTTCTGCCAAGACTGAGGACAACAAGAGTCGCGTTAACGAACTCATTCAAACAGACAGGCGCCTAACAAACCACGAAATTTCATTGTGGCTCAACATTTCAAAGTCGACTGTCGATAGGATAGTGTTTGATGAGCTGCACTATCGAAAGGTCTCTGCTTAATGTGTCCCAAAAGAGCTGACAGCTGACCACAAGACGCAACGTGTTGAAGTGTCTCAGACTATGTTGAATCGTTGTCGCCAAGCTGTCACGGGAGTCATGAACGTATCTGGAGACCTCCAACAATACGATGAAGCATTCCTGAGAAGCATTATTACAGGTGATGAGACTTGGATACACCACAAGACCCCTGAGACGAAAAGGGATTCAATGGTTTAGAAGAATACGTCTTCACCTCCCCCGAAAAAGTTTAAAGTTCAGCCTTGGGTGAAGAAACTCATGGCCACGGTTTTCTGGGATGCTAATGGTGTTTTGCTTCTTGACATTCTGGACCCAGGACAAACTATTAATGCTAACAGATACTACCAGACTCTTGATAAGTTGAGAGAGGTTGTGCGCCGAAAAAGACCAGGACGGTAGTCCTGCGGGGTCATTTTGCAGCATGACAGCGAAACGCCACACACTGCAAACGCTACGAAAGACTGGATCCAAAGGTTCGGCTTGGAAGTTCTGCCAAACTCACCTCACAGTCCTGACTTGGCCCCCTCAGATTATCACATTTTTGGACCAATGAAACGCCATATTTCTGGACAGC